AAAATAATGCAACTTTAACGTCGCTGGGGAACACGCAGCGGGTTCTTATAGGTTCCTTACAGGTTTCTATAGCCTGGTCGACATGCCAGCGGAGTTTCAAAAAGCTATGGACCGTGCTATAAACAACAAAAAAAACGTTTTTTTTTTGGATTATATCCTAATAGTGTCCAAGGGTACAGAGTAAGAGCATAAAAAAGTGAAAGTAGACGTATTAGAAAAACTGGAACAAGAAAACATATCCTTCAAATTGTCGACGTGTGTGAATTTTTCATGATTGAGGTGAACTGGCAGAAAGAGGGGTCACACCTAAAATTATGAAAATGGAAGCAATATTGAATCTGGATCATCCAAAATTTAAAGAAATAGAAAAGACTTTGAAAAATTTGAATGGGGGACAGAACACCGGAGAATATTTGAGAAAAATAAAAATGCATAACAAAATTAAACTATCACGATCCATCAAAAGAAACACAGGTAAAGTTGACGCTAGCCATATTGGCTTAGGAGCGTACCCGAAGCAAAAATGGGGGGAGGTGGTTTGGATTCCCATCTCACTTGTTTCCCGATAATATAAAAGTTAGGAGAAAAAATACTCCACAAATGAATCGAAACTACTTGCAGTTGTCTGGCCGGTGGATCAATTTAAATCGTAAATCATTGACATCTTAAAGCATTGACGATCATAAAGCATTGACATCAACTTAAAAAGGCAATTGCTCAAACAAAATTTACCAATAACGGTTAACTCGCTGCGTAGATAGGCTACTACCATAATAATTTAAAATGGTACAAATTCCAGACGAAGACATGGATATCGTCAAATATTTATCAAGAGAGCCAAACGGCAATCCGTGGCCAGAATCAGTATAAGATTTAAAAAAAGTTTGTAGAAACCTCAATTAAAGTTTTTACAAGGCTTTCGAATGTTTAAACAGTCAGCTTAGCGATAGATCCATCAAGGCTCGACCGGGAAGATAATTTTTTTAGAATATTCCGAGCTTCAAAATGAAATGAATACACGTATTAGGTCCAAGCACGGTTGCCATAGCAACCAAAACGGTCCAAATATAGCAAAGTTTGACCAGAACGAAAACGTTCCACACTCACGACTCTCAATTTTGCCCAAGAAGAGTTTATATATTTCTCTAGTTCAATTCAGTCAGTTCACTCAATTCAGAAAAATATATTCAAAACGAATTGGAAAGCGAAAAAAAACAAAAGCAAATGGTCAGGATCGATGACAAGGAAAAACCCACAAGAAAGGGCAAGCGTCAACGAGGAGGGGGTGACCGAGACAACGTTTCAACGGACACGTAAGATCAAAACAGGAGCAGTGAATAGATCGGCTTCTGAGAGTTCAGAGGAAGAAACTGCACGAGCAGTAACTGAAAGGAGGACACCACAGGTCAGAAGATTTCTGGTCGTTCTCAGACTTGATCAGCCAAGATGTAGAATATCATCCGGGGCTGGAGGCAACTGGAGGTAGCCACAAAAAATTTGACAAGTTTTCCAAGGAACAGCGGGGACAAGAATGAGTCCGGAACAAAGGCAATCATAGAAGTGGGTGAGCCACAATTCTAGGAGGGAGGAATTCAAGAAGACTGAGCAGCTGGGAGACGTCGGACTCATTAGCTTCACAAAGTTTTTTAATAAGAATTTCCAAGGATGTGTGAAAGGTCCGACTACGACGGGTCATAGAATGAAAAGGTTGAGCTCGATTCGAACTAATGGGCTCATATACGATTCCACTTTGGAATCAACTGTCAGTCATTGACCACTGCCTACTGGGACAACTTACACCCGCCTTATTGAAGACAATTCACTGAAGTCATCCGGGGCAGGAGGCTATGCTTGATGTCTCAAACTCATTGGGGTTGCCCACATGCATCAAGACATCATCAGTTTAGCCGAAAAGTGTAGAAAATGCACTAGATACGGTAAGAATGCTATTTATGTTATTCCGAAAACTTCTGCCAAACCTCTTCCGCTGCTCACGCAGCCCAAACAAGAAATCTAATTGGACTTGGCCGGTCCCTTAGAAGTTCATAAAGAAAAAAATGTACATGCTGGTAGCAATAGATCGAAACTCTAAATTTCCATTAGTCGAAGTCACAAAAACAGCAGAGCATAAATCTTCGATAAAACTTTTTGTCACCTACATTGATACACATGGACACCCGAATCAATGAAAACAGATCAATTTTCGGAGTTTAAAAGAAAGCGATAAAAGATTCTGGCAAGACAATATCACGGAACCAAACTCGGTTCAGTGGGCAATCATTGCAGTTGCGGGCTGGTAGAAAGAACTATCCAAACGATAAAGAGAAGACTCGGTATCGTGTTCTTAGAAGAAAACGTAACTTCCGAAAAATTCTGCATTTTCACGATCATTCGAGACAAGAGATGGACAAAACAAAAAACAATTAAAATATCACAATTCGAGGCATATTTTGACCGACTTCCCTAAACCGAGTTGAAAATCATAAGGTATAAGTTCTTATTAAACTCTGAACCTTTGGACAAGCATCATTTCGAGATGTCAGCGCTCACAGCCAGCCAACTAAAGAGACAAACTGACCAATCTCGTGTTAGTCTGAAAACTTAAGGGAAAGGGACATAATACTAGAGAAGCAAGCCGGCTGTTCAAGCAGCAGACATCATCTGCGCGCGACAGAGAAAGAGCAAGGACACTTAAGGCGTTACTGGAGGCTAACGCGAAGTGGAACGCAGAGAGGCAAGATTCTGCGGACAACGATCTAAGAAGAATTCTTGACAAAACATGCATAACCAACCCGGATCTAAGAAAAGAGTTGTTTTAGTGTTGGGAGAGGGGTTTTGTAGAAGACGAACCCACTGCGTCGAAAACGGATTTTTCCCTAAACCTTCTATGCAAAGATGAGTACAGAAAAGCGGATGTCAGAGGTACCTACAACTGACAAAACAGCAGCGGGATCAGTCTATCGCAAAAGCGAAATAGCGACAGCAAAAGTACCGGTCAACTTCTGAATCAAAGGGGGACAGAAGGGCAAAATGAAAAATCCTCTTGAAGAAATTAGACGGAAACATCAGCTTCAGGAAATTGAACCAACCTTAGAGGTCGAATCAGAACAAGAGACGAGGTAACGCAACAAGAAGATCAGGTGTTAGAGTTATTCTAAAATAGTGACACAAATGTAACATCAAAGGAAACAGGAGCAGGAGGTGGCTTTAAGTTATCGGTCAAAAGGGCAAAATCCAATCAGTAAGTCCAGCGGCAGTAGGCCCGAAATCCCAGAAAACAGTGGCCAGTAAGCAAAAACCGAAAAAGCAAATCGCACAAGAGAAAAAAAAGCTAAAGCAGCCTCAAGACAGCAGAGGAGACCGTTTAGAGGAGTGGATGGCCGACAACGACCTCGTGTGCGCCAACGATGGGTCGGCCACTCGCGTCAACCGGGGCCCTGCAGGCCTGAGCTCGCCCGACGTCTTCTTCACTCCGTCGTGCTGGAGGAGCAAGACTGAGTGGACGGTCGGTGAGTGTTTGGGATCGGACCACCTCCCTGTGGTGATCACCATCAGATGCACCGTCGGCCAGTTTCCGCAGTTGGAGAAGAATGCCCGTTGGAAGAAGAAGGATGTCAACTGGGCCGCCTTCTCCTCTGCGGTGGAAGAGCCAGCCAGCAGCTGGAAACTACTGGACACAGTTCACAGAAGAGCCAAGAAGTTCACGGAAGACATCCTGAGCGCTGCCAAGGAGCACGTGGGGAAGACGAAGCCCGACAAACATCGCAACGCGGGCATTTCTGCGACCTTCAGAGCCTTGGTAAGAAAAGGAATTTCTTCCGCAGGTGGATCAACACCCACCGCCAAGAATGGGTCACCGCCTGCGGAGAGGTTACCGAAGCCGTGTCTGCGGAAAAAGAGAAAAGGTGGACCGAATTTGTCGACACCTTAGAGTCTTCCAAGGACTACAAGAAGACGTGGGGCATCCTTGGCTCCATCAGCGGCAAGCCGGACTCGTGCTGCCCTAACGAGGCGATCCGGAACAACTGCAAGGTCCTTGTCTCTAACGAGAGCAAAGCCGATGCATTCGCTGCTCATTATGCCAAGGTGAGCAAGCTGGAGTTCTCTAGAGGGGAATGGGAGAAAAACAGACTTGCCAAGATCAGAGGCAACGCCCCCAGCGTGGACGACAGCTCCACAGCAGAATTCAGCATTGAGGAGCTGAACAGAGCCATCAAGAAGATGAGGAAGAACGGAGCGGCTGGCCCCGACGACATCCCCCCAGCTTTCTGAAAGCCTTGGGACCTCTAGCGAGGGGGGAGTTGCTGGGGATCTTCAACCAGTCGCTCCACGAGTCGGAAGTGCCGCAGGCTTGGCGGAATGCGATCATCATTCCTTTGCTGAAGGCAGGGAAACCAGCGGGCTCGATCGTACCGTCCCGTCAGCCTCACCTCCTGCATCGTGAAGACCATGGAACGGATGGTTAACACTCGTCTGTACCATCTGGCGGAGGCCAGGGGCATCTTCAACCATTCGCAGGCCGGCTTCAGGAAAAACAGAAGTTGCGAAGACCAGCTCCTGCGGATGATCCAGGACGTCAGCGACGGCTTCCAAGAGAAGAAACCGAGACGGACCGTCATGGCTCTCCTGGACCTTTCCCGGGCCTACGATAGGGTGTGGAAAGAAGATCTCATCCTCACCCTCATCGACTCAGGCGTCCCTCTCAAGTTGGTGAGATGGTTCAACGCCTTCCTCAGCAACAGGCAATTCCGAGTGATGTTCAACGGCAGCCTTAGCCGCACCAGATGGCTGATCCACCGAGTTCCACAGGGAGCTGTGACCTCCCCCTGCTGTTCATCTTTTACATCAACTCCTTGCCCGATGAGATCAAAGAACTTGTCAACGATAGTCTCTTCGCTGACGACCTCACCATCTGGTCCAGCCACAACAACAAAGAAGAAGCTAGCAGATACGTCCAATGGGCCGTCCAGAAGATCGAAGAATGGTGCTAGAAGAAGAAGATGCTCCTCAGTGAGAAGAGCGTGGTCACCTTCTTCTCCTCTAGCTCCGGGGACGCCAGATGGAAGCCGGACCTTACGATGGGGGGTAACACCCTCAAGTTCGATCCCTGCCCCAAACTCCTGGGGCTGGTGATCAACAGGATCCTGTCCTTCCAGCAGCACGTCGACAAGGTGGTCGACAAGGTTCGCAAACGCTGCAACCTCCTGGCCTGCTTGGGGACTTCAAACTGGGGCTGGAGGAAGAAACCCTTGCGGAGAGTGTTTCTTGCCACCCAGCGGAGCATCATGGACTTTGCCGCCCCTGCCTGGCAACCATGGCTCTCCAAAACCCAGATGGAAAGACTCGACCGCGCCCAGAACCAGGCCCTCCGTCGGGTTACTGGGCAAGCCGCCTCCACTCCAGTTGAGGCCCTGCGTCTGGAGAGCGGCATGCAGAGCTACCGGACCATCTCTCAGAGACTCACAGCCATCTCCCGGGAGAGAGCCTCCAGGTGCCCCGAGGGCCATCCCGCTCGGATCGCCCTGGAAAAGGACCAACCTCACCAGCTCTGCAGAGACAGCTGGAGAGAACTCAGCAACAGGATCAGTTCCACCCTCCCCAACGAGCTCGCCGACAGGGAGCCCCTTCCCACCATTGATGAAGAGGTTTGGACACAACAGAGACGTTGGCGGGTCAACAACACCGTCGGAGGCTTGGGACGCTCCGAAGAGACGAAACAGAAGGCGACCGAGACGATTCGGAACATCGACGCCACATGGACCATCTACACAGACGGTTCCGCCAAAGATGGGACTAGGGATGGAGGGTCAGCAATGGTTGTTACGACAGGTGACCCCCTCGACCCTCAAACCATCTTCTCCGAGACGATTCGCGGCAGGATGCTCACCTCCTCGTTTGACGAAGAGAAAGAGGCACTGGAAGCTGCAGTTAGGTGGTTGGAGGATAACACCCCTAACAACCGTGAAAAGGGCCTTATTTGCACTGATAGCCAAGCCCTGACATCGGCTCTGGCAAACGACAGCAGAGAAGTGAGCAACATCACTAGAAAACTTGACACGCTCAACCGCGAGATCATCATTCAGTGGATCCCTAGCCACGTGTGCATTGTAGGGAACGAGAGGGCCGACGCTCTGGCCAATGAAGCCTCTGGGTTGAAGGAGAGAGCAAAGCCAACCACCTACAAGACCGTCGTAGCCACCATCAAACGTACGATTAAAGACCCAAGCCCCTCTCACGCCAGAACAGCTCAAGTCTGTCAAGAGAACGTGACGAAAAGACCCTTCTGTCGAGAAGAGACGCAGTCATGCTAGCCAGGCTCCCCTCTGGACACAGCATGCTCTTGGCCGGGTATAGGACCCTGCTGAACCCCGCCGAGAGCCCCTCCTGTCCCAGATGCGAGGAGGCCAACGAAACAATGGAACACTGGCTCCTCGTTTGTCCGGGAACGCTAGCGGCCAGACAAGAAATTTTCGGACGCACGACGGTGAAATTGTCAATTCTCGCCGAGGACCCAGAAGGTGCGGTCGCGCTGGCGAAGCGGACCCTTGGGAAAACTTCGGCGCACTCACAATGAAAGAAAGAAGAAAGAAGACTGCAGCAACTACAACCCCGTTCAAGATGACAGAGAATGAGCGACCACACGAGAAAACTGACCCAAGCAGTAGTTTAACATCTAAAAAGTAAGTCAAGCAGTTAAAAATCAAAAAAATAGACAGAGAACACAATGCTTAACACTTTCCAAAAGCAGGGCTTGGCTCCAAAGAGTGGGAGAAATTAGCGGATCACGTTTTAACGAGGAGAACACAAAAGACAAGCGGAAGAAATATTCAAATCCAAAGACGCATCAGAAGACTCTACCGCCGTCGGTTTAGTACTCCACCTGGATACTCTAACGAGTCTAGTGCAAAAGACCCGACACGATCCATAGTTTGACGCTGCACGCGATCTAACATAAAACAGGTACATAAACGACTCGGAAGCCCAATAAAACACTCAGTAAAAGAAATCAACACAGATGCGGACAATGCTGAGTTGAACAAGGTTGCGTTGGAGGCATGTCTTCAAAAGTAGGCTAACTTTAAAACATAGAGAGGCAAGCCAATGACAGCAAGACTGGAGCTACTGAAGATGGCCTCCCTTTTTTTTTATTCTGAAGATAAATTTCCTTATGTAAGTTGGCGCAAGATATCATGCTCAATTTCTCAAAATATATTTTCTTGATTGACTATTGGAGCTTCTGATTGCTAATTGCCTTTTAACTGACTGAATTATATTTTGATGCCATCGAGCGCTTCTTGGAGTTTCTATAGAAATCTTTTAAAGGTGTATCAAGACTCTTCATATCAAAACAGCTCTCGGTAAGCCATCAATTAAACCATACAGCTGTCTAACGCTGCAATATTTACATCAAATTATTCCGCAGTACCATTAAAAATCCCACTATGGTCAATGTAGTTCCTGAAATTGTGAGTTACAGTCGACACCTAAAACGACAATCACTTTTCCAATTAATTACCAAATTTTTTAGGTGTGTCACACTTTCAAGTCCAAAAAATAAAAAACTTAGTGTTTCAAATTCAGTGGTTTTTTCTAAAAATTTTTCATTTTGAGTTTTCTAGCCCATCGATAGCGTTGAAATTAAAAATATTTGAAAGCTGATACATTTTAATTTTTATTGTAGTAAGAGGTTTTTTTATTTAAAAACAACCATGATTATTTTTTGCCATTTGAAAGCAATATGAGTTTTTTCGTAAAGCAATCTCAATTATCAACTGAATTTCAATGTTTTTGCTTCGCATATCATAACCACATAATTTGCAAACACAGCTAAAAAAAATCGAACACATCCGCAAAAAAAGGTGAGAAGAAGAAGAATAACTTATTCAGAAGCTTAATGTGTTGTTCCATCCACTGAAAGGGCGTTCTTTAGTTTTTTTAACAGTTTTTCCAATCAAATTTAGGTTAAATAGCACAAAAAATTCTTAGCAACGGGTCGATAGATAAATACTTTCACAGCTTTTCAGTCGTGATTTGCAAGAAACCAAAAAGCACTCATTGTTTTCATGGTTGATGTAGTACTGCGGTTGCAGTAATCTTCAGCTAAATATAGCCTTTGCTGCTGCAGTTGCACTTATTTATATCATTGGCACAATGTAAATTTGTTATCTATATTAATATCTGTTTATCGCCAAAGTCATAGGTGCTGTTGTGATATAGGTTATTTTTCTTTTAGTTCGTTCGCCATACTCGTGTATGAAATTAAAACAGTCGATCTGAGCAAAAAACAAAGCAACTAAAATATTACATTTTGGAATTCAAGCAATTGAACTTCACTGGCTTATATCTTAAGTTGTTAGCCGGTTACCGGGTTATCACAGTTGAGGAAACCGGATACCTTTTATGATAACTTTGAGCAAATAAAGCCAACGAGTAGGCTTAAAACAAGAATGAACCTTTTAAGCAGCAAGTTTGTTCCTTCCTTTTTTTGGAAAGTTTTTTCTAGCCCCTTCTTGAGATAGAGAGATAGAATTTTATAATTTTAATTTTTTTTTCGAAAAAAAAAATGAAAAAACATTTTTGATAATTTTGTAAATTGCTTTTAGTTTTTCATTGTTCTTTTTTTTCAAAAAAAATAAGGTTATTGAATATGTTCAACTTACTAACTTACTGTGACTATTGGATATCCCTACATTCTAGACTTTTCTTCAAACCCTGTGAACATACCGAATTAAAAAAACGACTCAATGTCGGAAAAGATGAAATCGTTTTTTATTTTTAGATTTTTATTTTTGTGTTCACAACTTTCTGTGCTACTTGCACAGCAATCGGTTATGTTTTTTGCCCTAGCTTTTTCCTGGTTAACAATCATTTTCTGTTATGAAATTCGATATTTTGATGAAATGAAAAAGAAGGAAACGATGCAATAGGAAAACGACCAAATGAATAAGAACAGTTGTTAATGATAAAATCATGTTTTTGTCACACAAAGATTTGGGGATTGAAGCGCAGGTGGTAGAAAAGCTTGCTAAAAAAATAATGATTCTGTTGCAAAATTTGCTCGTTCGCCACAATTTGCGAAGCGAGTACTTCAAAGTCAGCCATAGCTTTTAAAAGCTGCCTTGGCCTTAAGCTACTATTAGCGCGGAAACTCTTGATCACAACTAGTTTTGCAAAAATTGTCTTTAAAGGAATTGACTAGGGGTGATGGTGATAGTAATTTGAATTCCAGCTTCAAAAAGCAGTTTCAAAAATACTAAAACGCTCAGCCCACCATGATTTGTAAATAGCAAAATTTTGTTCTAATTTGCTCGACGCGTAAAGTTTTTTTTAGGATTAGAAAACTTTTGAACTTTGGTTCTTGAAAATTAAAAGGAGGGGAGATCAAAAAAGTATGATAATTTCTTGGCGTCTGGCAGGTTAAGGCCTGGACATGGGCGGAGTTCGGGGTTTGTTATGAAAGGGATCTAGATTCTTCCCAACCCTCTTTAATCTGCCTCTATACATCGATGGAAAACGAGTCAAACGACAACCTTTTTCTCAATACTGGATATTTTTTCCATGCATTTTTCTATAGTTTTAAATTGGCTTAACAGCTCAGTATCTAGAATATTTTTGACATGAAACCAAAACCCAGAGATTTGAGAACCCTTTTTTTCGGCCGGAAAAAGAGGAGTTTAAGCCCAAAAGGCCTTGGAAATAATTGTATTCAGTTAACTATTTTTTTTAAGATGTTCACTAAATTGTTAGCAGTTTTTTCGCTGGAAGTAGTGCATTTACTGTTTTTTATCTTTTCCAAATTACTGTATATTACAACCTGTAATTAAAAAACAGACAGATTTTTGATTGGCAAAACCAACTCATTAAAAGGTTCAAAGACACAATTTATTGACGCACTGCGTCAAAATACTGATAAAAGAGAGGGGAAAAATATCTAATCATTAGCTTCCTTTTTCCTTGATTGTTTTCGCTACATCGCAAAAATTTTTCTTGCTTGTTGTTGCGTTGGGTCCTTAACATAAAAATAAGCGATAATTTATGAAAAAATGTCGCTTTATCTTCATTTATTTTCTTTTTTTTCCAATAAAAGTTCCCTTTTTGTACATTTTGAAACAGAGTTTTTTTTATTCGGGAATCAATTTGCGGTCCTTTCATTAACGCATATGTAATTGACAAAAATCCAATAATTTTGTGTCGCTCAGCACAGGGAATGAAAATAATTATTACATCATAAAACAAAGGCCATTATTGAGGAAATGAAATGTATGGTGCGAATTAATATTGTTTGTATTGTTGTTTGCGTGGTATTGCGGGGCTGTTTGTTAGTTTCCGTATTTAGACCATTTTTCACTAGCCTGTCGTTTTTCCTTTTAATAGTAGGGGTTTAATGTTTTTTTTGCCTCCAATCTTGGTTAAAACAAATTTCATTGAGAGATGTTATTGACAAAAGAGGGAATGGTTTTGCGAAGGGAAAACAATTTTTAAGATTAGCTTGCCCGAGGCGGGAAATTTTCTTCTGAAGCGGTGGTGACTTGCTCATACTTAACGATGCAAGCGACAATTTACCTCTATTAATTCGATACCATTTGCCATCCATTTCCTGTTCATTATAAACAAAAAAACGACAAATCAACAATTTAAACTATGAACAATTGTCGCTTTCAAATCAAAGTTCATTTAGTTTGGTATATTTTTAAAAAGTTGTTATTCGTTTTTAGACAATAACGTTTTCGAGGGTACAAAAATCAAAGGAAAAATTAAAAACTGCTCTGTGCTTCTCAAATTAGTTAATCAGTTTTTCTGTTACAAAACTGAACTGTAATCCAAAGTGGTGTGGTTTTGAGCCTTTAATTCATTCATCAGTTTAAATGACCAATTATTTCCTTTTTGCCTCCGAAAATTGAAAAACTTATTTAAATTAACTAATCCATCTTTGATTAATGATCGAAAATGCCTTTCGGTTATTTGAAAAGAATGTTTTTCAAAACTCGACCCAAAAAAGCCCTGCTAACTCGAACATCAACGCTACCGGAAATAAATCTGGCATCGCCCATTTACATCGTGATTGAAAACGCCGAGGACGACCCTATCCAAAACACGATTGACGAATCAAATGACGACTTGATCATTCCCGGAATCAACCGACAGGGTGGACGGGACAGCATGACTATAAACGCAGATGTTTCCCCCCTCGTGACTCCTCCCCCGCCTATTGTGATTGACGATGACGACGTGGAGGAACCTTCAGGGACACCGGTTGAGGACAACGACTTTCCTAGAGGTATTTTGCATCAGCGGGTCGGTGTGATTTTGT